GATATTTTTACCCATCGCGGCTTTAACCAATCCCATTTACTCTAAAAGACCGGCCGAGAATTTTCTCTAATTATTATGAAGCGTTAATAAGCGTTTTTCTTTCCGCTTTCTTATTCCGCTATATTATTAATTTTTATATTATTTATATTATTATTTCTTATATTATGTCGATAGATTTTTTTGTTATAAAAATTGCAATTTATTAAAATACTCGACAGATTACTCTTTGACGGCTTTGACGGTTCGTCCTAACGGCGATGCTCGATCTTACTTTTCGTGAAAAATTTTCCATGGGAAATAACGAAGATCAGCGTAACGGTTAACGGAGCGAAAATTGGCACGAGCGACGTTGCGTGGTACCGAAAAAAAAAAAAAAAAAAAACCCCAAAAAAAAAAAAAAAAAAAAAAAAAAAAAAACAAAGAACGTCAGAGGCGCAATGAAAAAATATAAGCGGTTCCAAGGGTGTCGAGTGATAAGAGATGAGAAGGATGAAGAGAGAAAGCGAGCAAATGGCGGAAGTGAACAAATTTAAATCGACCTCTAGAGGACGAAGATAGGATGCTAACCCCCGCGGATAGTCGCTAACGACTAGGGGGTTTTCGGACTTGGAATGGGATAGGATAGGAAAGGAAGGGGGGGGGGGGGGAGAAGGGTCAGCATTCCTCCCTATAAAACGAGCCGGACTTAGTGCAGTATCCAGAGTTAGAAAAGCAAAAGCAATTAAGATAGTTACTTGGTTATGAGACAAAAAGACGTAGCGGAACGAAGGGGGTAGGAAGGTAATTACCGTGGTAACGGCTTGCCTCGACCGTGTGACCGTATCTCGCGGAGCGTGGTAGCTTCTGGGGAAATTAGTGTTGGAAAAATTCATGCCTGCGGAAGATTTGCGTAAATTAATTTACGGCGTACCGAGTCGGCCTCCTCTCTACCGAGGAAAAGAGGATAAAATTCAATTTTTAGGCTGGTCTCCGAGCTCGAGGGTCGAGGACATTTCGTTGCATCTGCTGATGCGACAGCCGACGATACGATCGCCGGACGATCTAGTTGCACAATATATGGATGTACTTAGCATATGTATCATAAAAAATTAGATTAAAAGAAATTATATATATATATATATATATTATAAGAATTGTTTAAACGATTTATATTATTACTAAGGTTGATGCGCCGTTAAATGTGCACCACATTGTATTATTTTGCATTTACATAGTGGATTTATGCAGTTTGCGCTTTCTTTCTGAATACTTTGCTAAAAACTGCTAAACAGAATTTGCAATAATGATAGCTCTTTCCACAATGTCAGCGAAAGAGATAACTGCTTGAAAGCTCACCTCCTTTCGCCGACATGTAGAGGCGCATCAAGTTCTCTCGTAATATTCCTATAACATTAAAGCAAATTTTAAGGTCCATGCGGGATTTAAGATGCCGTTTGCCTGCGCTAATCCCTCCTGGGAAGTATAACGAATATCACTTTGTAAGGAATAAGTAATGAGCGCGCTTGAGAATCGGATAAAATAATTGGCCGGCAGTTTGCAGTTGGCGAGCATAAATATTCTCGCGTTTTCCTCGAGTCTGTCACAATTGAGACATTATGCGGGATTTGTGCTGTAATTAACATTAATTCCTTCTGTGATTTAGCGTCTAATGGAAAACGCTCGTGCCCGGGACTCAATGCGCCGTGAAATTCGAAAAATTATCGCACTCCGCCTCTCCTTTTCTCTCTCCTGCGCGAAAAACCGAGGTAGAGAGAGGAAATTTATGGTTTTTCGTAAGCATGGCGGCGGAATCGGTATGGAAACTTTTTACGGCGTACTTTTGACGAAGTTCGAAAAGTAACGAGGCGCGTTTGCATCGTTCCTTCGGCTGCTGCTGTTGCAGTTCTTCGGAAACGCCCCGTACAATCCGATGCGCGCGCAGAGCTTTTTTCTTAGATACGAAGAGAAAATCGCGTACGAAATCTTCCGC